GTAGACGTAGTGAAAGCAAACCACTAATGTGTAGTCTGCAGCTGCCAGTCACAACCTCACACTCCAACTAAATACCCTGAAGACACCAACAAAAATGATGCACACTGTACTTAACATTCTGATAAATATTTGATGAAACTGTGTGTTTGGTGACTTTTCTCACATAGAATCAAAACATTCAGTTGATTTGAGAATATTTAATATTTTAGCTGTGTTTTTTTTGCTGAAGTGTTGCTCACTTGCATCAACCACAGCAATGACAGAAAGTGGAAAGAGGTTGAAGCGTTCCACACTGTCAGATCCGGTGGACCAAACCCGGACTAGATCTGCAGGCTTGGCTAACTGCATTGCACACAGATCTATGAACACGTTAACAGGACGGCAGCAAACAGGGACATTGTGTGACTACAGCTCCAAGGCAAAAATATGACTCCTGCTGAAGTCAGCCTGTAGACACTTCAAATTACGGAAATGATGTGGGATTTCTGTGGCAGATTTTGTGTTTCTTACGCCTGTCATATTGAGAGATAGTCATGCGTTAGAGCTGCACAAACATATATGATCATTATCTTATTTAAGAAACAGCATTTGGGTCTGTTAGTGGTCAGAGTGAAAGTAGGTCATTGGTTTTGGTGACAGTAGAAGAGTGATGTAAGCAGGGACCTACATGTCGGTACTGCTTCCTCTCAGGTTTGTAGTTTTCAGTTACAGATCGACCCCTGTCCAGAACTGACACTGAGGTCATGTTTTTATGAGACTGAAACTTTATTTAAATCTAAAAAGGTAAAATAATAATAATAAAATAAAAAGCTGCGAGTAACCTCAAAACAAATGTACAGTGATGCCCCGATTTTCGCGGGGGTTACTTTCGGGAGTACCCGCAAAAAATGCTAAAACTAGATGTGGTCCAAAAATGGCCTACATTTGGGTGGCCTCTTAATGTAGTAAGAACCGAACAAAAAAACACGACAGCAAAAGAGTTAGCAACTACACGCCGCATTAGATAACAAAAAGAGGCTTGTTGTTTCACCTTGTTTGACCGTCTCTTCTGGTAATAATAGCATCAGCCCCACAATAAACCAGAGTCAACATGTCATGGGTCATTACATATCTGTGTCTGACATAAAGGTATTACAATCACTGTAGCATCGTGGGACAGGACTAAAACCTATTTGTAAGGTTAGTTTTGGCTGCAGTGGAAAATTGTTCCGACACTGTTAAAATTTTAGGGGAGAATTTGATTTTTTTCAGTTTCTGGAAATTGAGGRTTTTCTCAGCTGGCTGCAGCTTTCTAGCAAAATTATAAATTTATAAGTATCAATTTGCTTGTATCCCTGTTCATGCTGGTGTTTTACTTGTAAAAGGATACTCATTGAGTGTTTTATTTCCTCCCAATTAAGGAGTCATCCCTATGTTTCTCAGTGCTAAAATGGTAAATAGTCTGTACTTATATWGCACCTTTCTATCCAGCCAGGATACTCAAAGTGCTTTACACTACTATCTGTGTCCTCRCTTACCCRTWCACACWCATTCAYGTTCATTCAGCACACTACTAGATCTCTCTACAAAGCTGATACAGATTAATCAATCTATAGAGWCTAATCAGTGCTTTRAATCACATTCATACACTGATGGGACACACATGAGGGGCAGTGGTGGTTCAGTGACACTTCGWCRTGTGACTGATTAGCAGTGGAAYTGAACCGCCAACTCTCACATTAGATGATCAACTACCCTAACCACTCAGCCACAGTCCCCACAATGCCTGCACTTGAAGGTGGAGCCAAACATCTTTCATGTCTCTCTTTATTAAGCCTGGGGAAACAGTTATCGAGGAACTTGAGTACCATATAGGTACTGGAAAAAATAGGTACGGGGGAACATAGTTGTGGAGATACATAGATACTGTTAAACATAATTATTGATGAACTGGGGAACATAGTTACCGGGGAACATAGGTATCGGGGAGCATAGGTACCAGCCAGGGAACATACAGTAGTTAACTGGGGAACATACCGGGGAATGTAGTTGCAGGGGAACAGAAGACGTTTCTCCATTGCTAAGTGCAGCTCCACTCAGTTCTCGTCAGATAGGTTCTACTCTGGTGTAGGTGATTTGCCACTGTAACTTGTGTCTCCGCTCTGTGGGCGGTATCATTAGTGCAAAGTAGGCAGTAATGTCATTTACAAGAGTGTGCTAAGCTGCCGTTTATTGTTGCTCATTCAGTGCTACAGCTAACTATTGATMTAAAAAGTCATTTGGTCTGTAAATAATACTCATACCCTGCTACAGCAAACAAAATGCAGCAAAATCAAAATGATTTTCTTATAAATTAACTTGCAGTTTTGCTATGAGTGTGAGTAAAAATGTTGATTTATTTTCTTATGAATTTAACTCAATGAAAAACAAATAGAATTTTCTGATAGTATCTTTATTGCACAAAATAAAGTCAGACAAGATATAACCACTTAAAAAAACACAGTCACCTTAACCAAAACTACTTTAAAGTCCAAATGTAATGGGAAAAGCTCTTCTCTCCTGTAGTCGCTTGGCCCACGGCTTCCTCAACCTGGATGGTGAGGCAGCTGGTACCGATGTCGGAGAAGCGTCCTGTGAGCTCAGCTGGCCACTTGTCAAAGGTGACTCTGAAAAAAAGATGATTAGCCTCAATTTTGTTAAACAATAATGATTAAATACAATAAATGTAGAGCAGAGAGTTTTTGTTTTTAGCCTAGATTGCTAACTAGCCATCTAGCTGCTAACTAGTTAGCATTAGAAACAAACATGCACAAAGGACACATCAGTACAAGGTTTTTAAAGAAAAAGTACAATTTCACAAGTGAGATAAGTGTCCCAAAAATTATGTTCAATAACTCACAAAATGCATGAAGCACTCACCGTCTTCAGATGTCTCTGAAGTTTGTCAAGAGTCCYAGTCTACCGTTAGCAGCAGCCAGAACGGTCGGTGGCTGTAGATCACTATATTTACCCAAACCAACTCCAGTCCCACTGGTTTGTCCTTTTAGTCCCCTCAGTGCTCTAAAATATGGCTCAAGATTTTTTAGCTTCTCCTGGCACTTCACGATCACTTCGGAAATCTCTGTAAATTCTCTTGTTTTCAGTTCACTCTGACTTCTCGCACATCTGTTCATAAATTGCATCATCCAGGGTGGTTCATGTAGCTCCACTGGCCAGTCAGTAACTGCTTCATGCTTTGGCACCCCACACACCAAAAAAATGCCAGCACTGCAGTACTACCTTCGAGGAGGTTCCACAAACCGGGCCGAAAAGGAGCCGACAGTGGAAAGAACTTAAACTGGTGTGAAGTGGGGTGGAGCCGAAGAGAATCAAGCCTGTGGAAAAACGCCTACCGGTGAACATACTGTAGGGACCAGGCAGCATAGGTACCAGCCAGGGAACATAGGTACCAGGGTACATTGGTACCAGGGAACATAGGTACAAGAGAGCATAGGTACCAGCCAGGGAACATAGGTACAAGAGAACATTGGTACCAGGGAACATAGTTATCAGGGAACATAAGTAACAGGGAATGTTGGTACCAGGGAACATTGGTACCAGGGAACATAGGTAACAGGGAACATTGGTACCAGGGAACGTAGGTACCAGGGTACACTGGTACCAGGGAACATAGGTACCAGAGAACATAGGTACCAGCCAGGGAACATAGGTACCAGGGAACATAGGTACCAGCCAGGGAACATAGGTACTAGAGAACATAGGTACCAGGGAACATAGTTACCAGCCAGGGAACATGGGTACCAGGGAACATTGGTATCAGGGAACATAGTTACCAAGGAACATAGCAGGGAATGTTGGTTCCAGGGAACATTGGTACCAGGGAACATAGGTAACAGGGAACATTGGTACCAGGGAACACTGGTACCAGGGAGGGAACATAGTTACCAGGGAACATTGGTACCAGGGAACATAGTTACCAGGGAATATTGGTACCAGGGAACATAGTTACCAGGGAACATAGGTAATAGGGAACGTTGGTACCAGGGAACATAGGTAATAGGGAACATTGGTTCCAGGGAACATTGGTANAACATAGGTAATAGGGAACATTGGTTCCAGGGAACATTGGTACCAGGGAGGGAACATAGTTCTCAGGGAACATAGTTACCAGGGAACATAGGTAACAGGGAACATTGGTACCAGGGAACATAGGTAATAGGGAACATTGGATCCAGGGAACACTTGGACCAGGGAGGGAACACAGTTACCAGGGAACATAGGTATCAGGGAACATTGGTACCAGGGAACATAGTTACCAGGGAACATTGGTTCCAGGGAACATAGTTAACAGGGAACATTGGTTCAAGGGAACATAGTTACCAGGGAACATAGGTACCAGGGAACATTGGTACCAGGGAACATAGTTACCAGGGAATATTGGTACCAGGGAACATAGGTAATAGGGAACATGGGGCGGCTGTGGCGGAGTGGTTAGGRGAGTCGTCCTGGAACCAGAAGGTCGCTGGTTCGATCCCCTGTCCAGCCGTCTCAGTTGTTGTGTCCTTGGGCAAGACACTTCACCCACCTTCCCTACTGATGGTGGTCAGAGGGTCCGGTGGTGCCAGTGCATGGCAGCCTCGCTTCTGTCAGTGTGCCCCAGGGCAGCTGTGGTTACAGTGTAGTTTGCCATCATCAGTGTGTGAATGTGAGTGTGAATGGGTGAATGTCTGTTAGTTTAAAGCGCTTTGGGGTCCGGAGGGCTCTATAAGTTCAGTACCATTACCATTACCATTGGTTCCAGGGAACATTGGTACCAAGGAGGGAACATAGTTACCAGGGAACATAGGTAACAGGGAACATTGGTACCAGGGAACATAGGTAATAGGGAACATTGGTTCCAGGGAACATTGGTACCAGGGAGGGAACATAGTTACCAGGGAACATAGCTATGGACACCAAACTACTATATGAAGACTAAAAAAAACGTTTCTCATGCCTGTCTGTATGGTTSTGTCTTCCAGTCTCCCAGTCCAACATCAGTCTAAAGAAGCACCGGAGCAGAAGTATTTTCAGCCCCTTTTTTTGCTGCTTCCGCAACTACAATGACTACCACGTGGAGCCCCCACCYGCCAACAACAAGACACTTTCTTTACCCTCTCCTCCAGAGGAGAATGGCAGTCCTCCTAAGGTAAAGTTACATGTTTTTTTCTTCATCATGTTTGGCCAGAGTCCAAATTTACATACCATTCACATCCAACAGATCTAACACACCGTGTGGGAATAAGTTGATAGTTTCTGACAGGAATCCTAATTTTACTGTAACATTTGTTTGTTTTTGGTACAAAAATAAAGAAAGCGTTCAGTAGAGTTTTCTTTTTCCTTCTGGGAGCTCATGCTGAGGTGCTGTGCCGCCTCACTGAGCTCCCTCCACAGATTCCTCCAGCTGCTTCAAACCCGCTGAACCCAGAGGTTGTTTACCATCTACAGCTCGAAAAATATGGGCTCGCTTCCCATCTTGCATTCTTCGATATCTGCCTACGCACACAGCCACACACACCAAACAACACATGGAGCACCGATCACACAGTTGCTCGCTCTTTGCCGTGGCACAGGAGCACACGTGTTTTACCATGACAACACGTGCCCAAACGCAAACATGCACTGAAACTGATGCTCGCTAATCCCCATAAAGTGGGCCTTGTGTGTATCCGGTATGATGGATCGCTTATCCCTCCCCTCCTCCACTTTCTCTTCGCTCTGACCAATRTAGTAAGAACATGTGAAGAGAACATTCTGGTTGTGGGAAAAAAGTGCCAAAACCCTCAAGCTCCTCTACAAACATACTTTTCTGTTGTTTAAAAAAAGCCGGTAGACTGGGATGAGTAACATCGCATCATTATTCAAAGGAATCGTTATAATATCATATTGTGATAAAGCTGGTGCTTTACATCCCTTGTAGTTAGTAGTTTTCATAGCAACCTGTGACCCGATCGCGTCATGCAGTTGCATCTACAAAATGGTTTATTTGCGTTAAAACTTTGTAAACCTCGCCATAAAAAGCCTCGGTGCAGCGTGAAACAAAACAGATTGTGCTCCTGAATTTCAGGCCAGCGACTGTTTTTTAATGAAGTTGTTCTCACATTCTGTCACTATTTGCACCTTTATCACGGCTCCTCATCCTCATACCTACTTGTACCTTCTGGATCAGTTGATTAAACATTGATTGTTTTTTTTCTCTCTTTTTTTTTTGCTTCGTTTTTCATGGTTTTCCACGCTGTCTATCCCAATCTGTCTCTTTTGTTCCTGCAGTTATTTCTCCGGTATGATCAGGTCCAGGTCGTCTGTTTATTCAGTCTGTTTTTAGCTTTTTGCTTTTCTCCTTACCTCCTCTCTGTTCGCTCAGCGTTATCATTCAAACCGCATGTGGCGGCCAACAGAAAGGTTCGTTTCTTCCTGGCTGATGAAATTTGACTTACTCCAGTTCATAGAGTCATGTTCTCCAGGATATTTTAGAAAGAAGCAATTCACGAGTTTATTATCCCCCTGATGTAACTTGGTGTCCATGTCTGAATTTAAGCCATTTTGTTAAATGATTAGATTGTAGTTCTGCGGTTGAAGGTCAATGAGCATCAAATTGGTTTATGTATTTTCAGCAGTTTGCTTTTCAGGAGAGTAAAACAGACTCATCTGATGCGCGCTGAAGCTGCAGTTCACTCAGCTATTTTGGAATCCAATTTGATTCCTGTGGTTTTACTGTAATTTAGAATATTCACACTCACAGCGTCGCCACATCGCAGCCAAAGCTTTAATGCTGCACTACCCAGCAGATACCTCGCTTCAGGAGCAGGAAGTTCACGCGAGGATGAGCTCTGCTCTTCGTGTTGTCCGAACATGAGCCAAACACAGACTTAAAGAACCCGGCGGGTCATGTCTGTGTCAATGGGTCTCATAGAAACAGCTTAAATCAGCGTCTGAAAATAGAGTTTCCAGCAAGGATGGGAAAAAGAAACGTGAAATGCTAAAAGTAGTGCTATGCTCTCTGAACTATTCCTAGCTGAATAGCTAAATCATCCACATCCTGGTATCTTAAATTAGATTCATTAATAAATACAGCATCCTATTTTGATTTCCAACAATTAATTAAAAAAACAAACTATTGTAGTAAATCACAATGAATAAGTACTGTGAAAAACCTATTATCTACTTTTTACTTTGAAATTCTTAAAACAAATGTGCCTGCAGTGTGTTTTCCTTCAACTTGACAACCTACACGCGGATCTGTTTGAAGAAGCGCCTGACTGCAGTTTCAGAAAAAGGGTCATTTTAACTGGTCTAAATGTCAAGGTCTTAGTGAGTCTTTCTTTACCTAAACTGCTCCTCTGGCAGGAGTAAATACCATCCATCACAGTGCGACAGGGTGTCATTCGGTGTCCTTGCTCAAAGGGAATTCTTCCTACAATACATCAGCGCGCGGGCTGGCGATAAGACATGATAAATACAGCCTGCCTTGGAAAAACACACGTAAACACAGAGACATGCAGGAAATGCCTGGCATAACGAGCAGCAGCTCACTGGTGGGAATGTGTTTGCAGGACTGACAGAGTCCTTGATCCTCACCTCTGTGTACACTCGTGTGTGTGTGTGTGTGTGTATGTGAGTGTGTGTGTGCCTCCTATGGTTGGACCATCTGGCTCATGCCTGCATGTAACCTCAGGCGTGTTTGACAAAGGTCATGAGTGTTTCTCTTTTCCTCCAGACCCTGAAGGCATCAGAGCACCAGACCTCAGTAAACATGATATAACGCAGGAGATGTCTGCAGATTTTTACAAGCCACATGTCTTTTAAATGGAGGACAAACAAACTTTGGACTTCACTGCATTGTAGATCAGACTTATTTAATCCGTCATTAGCTTTATCATAAATTTACAGGTCTTGAATTATCTCCTAAACTTACTTGTGGAGCCTGTAAATACCTGTGTATGCACGGACCATAAAGTGTGTGATTACCAATGTATAAATGTACCATAAAGCATGTTATTATTACCAATGTATAAACATGCTACAGAGCCTGGTATTACCTATGTATAAACCTGGTATTACTTGTGTAAAAGAATGGTATTATCTGTGTATAAACATACTATAAAGCTTGGTATTACCTGTGTATAACCATACTATAGAGCCTGGTATTAAAGCTTGGTATCACCTGTGTATAACCATACTATAGAGCCTGGTATTACCTATGTATAAACCTGGTATTACTTGTGTAAAAGAATGGTATTACCTGTGTATAACCATACTATATAGCCTGGTGTTACCTGTGTATAACCATACTATAAAGCCTTGTGTTACCTGTGTATAACCATACTATAAAGCCTGGTATTACCTGTGTATAAGCCTGGTATTACCTGTGTAAAATAATGGTATTACCTATGTACTGTATAACCATACTATAAAGCCTGGTGTTACCTGTGTATAACCATACTATAAAGCCTTGCGTTACCTGTGTATAACCATACTATAGAGTCTGGTATTATCTGTGTATAAACATAAAATAGAACCTGGTATTACCTATGTATAAGCCTGGTATTACCTGTGTATAAGCTTGGTATTACCTGTGTATAAACATACTATAGAGCCTGGTATTACCTCTGTATAACCATACTATAGACCCTGGTATTACCTGTACACAAGCGTGATATTACCTGTGTATAACCATACTATAGACCCTGGTATTACCTGTACACNTAACCATACTATAGACCCTGGTATTACCTGTACACAAGCGTGATATTACCTGTGTATAACCATACTATAGACCCTGGTATTACCTGTACACAAGCCTGATATTACCTGTGTATAACCATACTATAGACCCTGGTATTACCTGTACACAAGCCTGATATTACCTGTGTATAACCATACTATAGAGCCTGGTATTACCTGTATACAAGCCTGGTATTACCAGTGTATAAACATAGTATAGAGCCTGGTATTACCTGTGTATGAGGCTGGTATTACCTGTGTATGACCATACTATAGAGCCTGGTATAACATCTGTATAACCATACAATAGAGCCTGGTATTACCTGTGTATAAACTTAATATAGAGCCTGGTATTACTTACGTATAATCATACTACAGAACCTGGTATTACCTGTGTATAAATGTACTATAGAGCTTGGTATTACCAGTGTATAAACTTAATATCAAGCCTGGTATTACCTGTGCATAACTATATTATAGAGCCTGGTATTCTTGTACATATTATAGAATGTGATATTACCTGTGTATAAGTGTACTATAGAGCTTGTTATCATCTGTGTATAAACATTCTATACATCCTGGTATTACTTCTGTATAAACATATAAATAAACTTATAATAAAATGTCTGTGTGTTGCCTCCACAGCCCCCAGCCAAGTTCCTCCTACCTGAGGTCAGTATAGAAGACTACAGCAAGAACTGTGTGGTAATTGACCTCGATGAGACCCTGGTTCACAGCTCCTTTAAGGTAACATTCCAATAAATCAAATAATTATAGTCAAAACTATGAAACCTAAACTCCTCCCTTATTCAATTATGTAAGGGCAGCACTTTTTCAATGATTGAAACGCAACACCTGTAATTGACAGAAAATAAATTTGATGTTAGATTTATTGGAGACAATTTACAACCTTTGTATTCAAATTTGAGATAGTAATAAAATCCTACAAACACTTATCTTTTTAACAAGACTTCCTTATTAATCTTTTATGGCCAATCAGTATGTTTGAACTACATTTAAATTGTGTTTATATTCAGTGCTTAGTTTTTTATTCAACCACAGCACTGCATTTTTTGCTACCTTTTCTTGCCTGTGTGGTGCTGATAGAGAATAGTACATATTTTTAGTGGATAGTAAATCTTGTGTGGTGTCCCACCAGGCCTTGGGTGGAGAATCACACTGTCAAATATGATGTATAGATCAAATTTCTGGTAAATATTTGAGCACGTCTCCTTTCTGTTTAGCTGTTTTCAAGTCTCTGGACTGGTACTGCAATGTAAAACATTTTTTGAGCCTCAGATAGTTTATAGAAATTATTTTAAAGTTAAACTTTACCCTGAAATAGGTTCTGGTATGTTTCACAATGGTGTTATTCCCGGATAGGTAAAAGGACAACTTTCCTCTAGTGTTCTTGAGCTTAGTTTTGCCTATCCAAAAAATGGGGTCCATACATACGTATGTTCTACAGAACCTATGTTTCCTGGTACCTATGTTCTCATTGGATTAATAAAAAATGAAAGATGCTTGGCTCCCACTTCAAATCTCTTTGTACTCGAGGAAACATGGGGATATGGGATTTAGGTACTGGGGAACATGGGTATCTATCCATCCATTCATTGTCTTCCGCTTTATCTGAAGTCGGGTTGTGGGTGCAGCAGCTTGAGCAGGGAAGCCCAGACCTCTCTGTCCCCAGCCACCTCTTCCTGCTCTTCTGGGAGGACTCCAAGGTGTTCCCAGGCCAGCCGARAGACAGTCTCTCCAGCGTGTCCTGGGTCTTCCTCAGGTCTCCTCCTGAAGCACCTCCCTAGGGAGGCATTTAGGTGGCATCCTTACTAAATTCCCCACCTCAWCTGGCTCCTCTCGATGTGGAGGAGCAGCGACTTTACTCTGAGTCTCTCCTGGATAAYTGAACTTCTCACCRTATCTCTAAGGGAGAGTCCAGCTACCCTGCGGAGAAAACTCATTTCGACCACTTGYATCCGTGATCTTGTTCTTTCGGTCACTACCCAAAGTTTGTGACCATAGGTGAGGGWAGGACCGTAGACTGATTGGTAAACAGAGAGCTTTGCCTTACAGCTCAGTTTTCACCACAACMGACCGGYACAGAGTCCACAAAACTGCGGAAGCTGCACCGATCCGTCTATCAATCTCACGCTCCATTCTTCCCTCACTCGTGAACAAGACCCCAAGATACTTGAACTCCTCCACTTGAGGCAGAACTTCAGCACCAACCTGGAGACAGCAATCCACGCTTTACCAACTGAGGACCAGATACATCGGTATCTGGGAAACATAAATAGTCCAGGAATTATAGTGATAGGTGTACTGGAGGGTACATAAATATGTGGGGAACATAGGCACTGGAGAGCATAAGTTCCAGGAAACATAGGAAAGGCACCACCAATAAAAAGGTCCATCTTAGATAAAAAAAAATAGTTCAAGATGAAGATTAGCTTTTGCTTCGTTCAGCAGAAAAGAACTGCTTTTAATTAAAATGAACAAAAAACTGTTTACAAAGGTTTTTCTGGTGAAAATGGAATTTCTGTTTTGTTGTGGAAAGTCAGAAAGAAATGTGTACACACCCATTGTGCAGGAAAACAGACACACACACATGTTCACAGAAGGGTGTGTCCTGTACAGTGCACTGTAAATCACGTGAATTTCTCAGAAATCTCGGATCAGTTTGAGTAGGGTTTTATTTTTTTAATTGCCTTCTTCTTTCGTCAAAACAAGTCTGTAACTCGCCACACACTCACTCTGTCCAAATTAGCTCGGTTTGTGCAAGACAAAGTCAAGAAGTGCAAAGACTAAAAAAAAAATCAGCTGAGAGAGAGGGAAACAGCCGAACATGAAGTGACRGCGTTTTCAGTTCCGTTCTCCGTCGTTTACAGGATTTCCTTTGTTCAGTTTCCCATTTGGAAGTGAATATGATTCAAAATATCAAGGCTTTTTATTTTTAAATAGCTGGAATCAGACAATAAGTGCAGAAATAAAACAACAACAACCAACAGGGGATAAGGATGATGCACAGATGGACATAGACTAAAAAAGAAACATTGCGTAACACATCACATACTCTGTGCTTTAGCCTGAATGTTATGGATGAGGGGATAATTCCTGGGTTTATTCTGGGATTAGATGGAGTGTGTTAGATGTGCCAAAGCAGCTGAAAGGAGACAACTATTTACGTCGTTATGAGTTGCATTTATTTTTGCTTAATGTGATGTTGGCACCTCAAGTTTGCATTCTCCATTGGCACTGAGCGTCTCATTCTAAAACAATGCATTATCAACAACAGTGATTGTTTGTGATAGTGTGTTGGACTTCCCTCTAAATTTGCTTACTATCCTGATCATAATCCATATTTTAGGTCAGGTTTGGTCAAAAATGCGTATTAATCTAAAACATCTACACTTTATGTAAAGTAAGCCATGAGTCAAGCGTGATCGGCAGATGAAACGRCTTCTAGAGTGACTTGAAGAGCCTTTTGCCATTCTGAGCACTTACTCCGTTTAGACTTGTCTTTATCCGTCACACACGCCTTCACCTCTCATATGCCTCCATTTTTATGTCCCATCCTCTCCGATCCATCTCAGGGCAGTGATCGGTACGTTCAGTCCTCAGATGACGGAGCATTTAAGCAGAAGAGCATGAAGCACAGGAGCAAAAACGAGTCTGTGCATCTTGTCTTCTATTTTTGCTCCTGCTTTCCTTTGATTGCAGCTGTATTTTACGTTTTCTTCATAGCCTGCCCACAGACTGACTTAATTTTTAGACTTAGAGAATAACCCCTAATAAATTGTTCAGGCTTGTGGTTTTAAATTAAATTAGATTTTTAAATTAGATTCCACATAAATAAACAAAACATCATTGCAGATTCATAAACGTCCCATTAGATTAATATTTACAGAGTTTTAGACAAATATTTACGTGTACTTTTTGCATCACTGAAGCAAACACCCCCTCTGCTGGATGACTAAACTGAGAGGCAAGGAGTAACAAAAAAATAAAACATCATTGTGTTTATTAACAGCTTCTTCGGTGTTCATTAAAACGTCAAAAATGATTTCAGTGTAAAATCCAAAAGTGTGTTATGTAATTAATTGAAATTAAACAGATATAAAAGAAAAGAGAAAAAAAACTGCTGTGTTTGTTTTTGTGTGTAGTTGTCTCTGGAAAAACTTTATATTATAGCCTGCTTTCTTTGATGTGAGAGTGAAAATGCATTGAAAAAAATATTTTTTGTCTTTCTACAAATTTCAAACAAATTAGCTAATTAACATATCAAGCTTTTTTAAATTCTTCAAAATGTTTTAATTTGATTTTACCTACCAGTTAGGCTACTWGTGGTGATGGCAAAAGCATGTTATCATTCTCAAAAGGCACAACTCATACTTTGAAGTATGAAATGAAGGTATAAATGTGATGCAAATTTACTTTTTATTTTAAATCTAAGTAACTGTAAAGTGATTGTTCCCCCCAGGTTTGCTTGTAGTATTTACACTATCTTTTAGAGTTTAAAGTTATATTTACATGACTATTCATTCTGTGCAGGATTTTATTCAAATTAGAGACACATAAGTTCTTCTCTTGTATTACTGAAAAATATATATACCATCACCTATTTTTCTTTTTTTTTTCCATACCAAAAAAATGACTGTTCCTCCTACCTAATCCTTTCATCCTCGTCTTTACGCCTTCTGCTCATCATCTTCCTCCCACACCCCTCTGGTATGAGTCTTCCTCTACCTCCTGCACCTCTTCTCTTCCCTCTCTTGCTTTCAGAAAAAAAAATTGACACAAGTCACACAGAGAAAATGGCAGTGCTCTTCCTGTTCGCTGTCACGTCTGTCATCTTCCTCAGCTCCCAGGTTTCTCTCCAGAGAACTGGTTTTTATTTAACTCTGCGGCGCACTGGAGCCGAGGGGAGCCACATTATGCTGAGAGTCTTCATCGCTCGCCTGGGGCGCCTTGCAGGGCTATTTTACTCTTCTTCCTTTTTGACACGAGAAGTGGGCGTGCGGCTGGGCTGATTCGAGCATCAAAAAAAAAAAATCGCACAAGTTTTGAATCATCTCTCCGTGTCTTGTCTTCCTGCAGCCCATCAGCAATGCCGACTTCATCGTCCCAGTGGAGATCGATGGCACAGTTCATCAGGTAATACTGGAAAACTTCCATATGTAGGCATGAATTCAATAACACGGTGCTGTCCGTTTTAATTTATTAGGCTTTCTCTTGGGAGTCTTGGCTGTGCTTTATTTCCCTCTGTATTTATTTTTCCCTCTTATCTCACAGCTACTGTGTAATCAAAGTCATACCGTTCAGATAACTTTTTGATTTTGTTTTATATCGTTTCCTCGCTTACTGGGAAGATTTAAAATTGTTACATAACTGCGTCGTGACGTAGGCCATTTCCCAAAGCCTGTTGAAGACGGTGCAAACTACAAGTAAAAATGCTTACACTTGCTTGCTGTCAGATAACTGTTTTTTTTTTAACCAAGACTGCACTCCTGCCTCACTGTACTGTTCTGTAGCCTGGTTCAAGTAATCCAGGATAGGCTTTCTGCACCTGCTTTGGCCTGTCCTTGATTACTTGCGCTTGGAGACAGCAACCAGCCCATCAGAGGACAACTAAAAGCAACACAGTTGGTTGCATGGTAGCYTGTTTTATTCTGTTAGTCTGTAGGCTGATGTACAACCCCAATGATTTCTTTGTGTTTCAGCTTCTCTCTGACTACTTGCACACGTTGGCCTTAATATGTTATTTTTATGTCCTACTAAAGGTTTTAGTTTTTGATATATAAAAACATTTAAGTACTTTAAAAAAAATTATATGTTTATTGCATTTTTCTCTTAAGCTATTTGCCATTTTTTTTACTGTCACAATGATTTCTGGGGATGATGATGATGACGGGTTACAGAGAAAACAGAGAGTCGATGCTAAAAAAGCTATAATGTGTGACAATAAATCTATATTTTTGTATTATTGTTTATGTTCTGTACATTGAATGGGTTGAAATGATTAAACATGACAWTGATGTTTAGTACATTAGCTTGGGAGTTAACAACACGTACCGGTATTACTAATATATGTGGTGTTAGCTCCCAAGCTAATATTATTAGCATTAACTGCCAAGCTCATTTTATTAATTCTGGAGGTAACACTTATTAGTAATTTATATGTGTACGCACCATCGTCATATAAACTTAACACAAAAAGTACGGAAATTTGGTTTATTTGCAGATTTGGTACGTTTGGCAGCTCTATTGTCTTTTGTCACATATTTTCAGATATATAGACCGGAGTGTCTAGTAAGCGTTGTCGTTTACCTAGAATGCTTTGCGGCGTAAATAACATGGTCTTATTTCTATAGTTGAAGTAAATGTTTATCATTTCATTTGTAATGTTACAAACAGTCAGAGTTACTTTTAAGACTGTAAGTCTTATATTACATTGTCATATTTTAGGTGTACGTCTTGAAGAGGCCCCATGTGGATGAATTCCTGCAGAAGATGGGCGAGTTGTTTGAATGTGTCCTCTTCACAGCCAGCTTAGCCAAGGTTAGCTGTTTCTCAACATCTCTGCCATATCTGTCACAAAAAGCTCTGCCGGTCTCATTTAATTGATTTTTTTTCTTCATTCAGTATGCTGACCCTGTGGCAGACCTGCTGGACCAGTGGGGGGTGTTTCGAGCTCGGCTCTTCAGGGAATCTTGTGTTTTTCACAGGGGAAACTACGTCAAAGACCTCAGCCGGCTGGGCCGAGAGCTCAGAAAAGTAATCATCATCGACAACTCACCTGCCTCCTATATCTTCCACCCCGAGAACGCAGTAAGTTGTTCTCTGTCCACCGTTATGTTAGGATTCTCACAGTTTCTACTCATACAGTCATTGTGGGTTTTTTTWATTTATAAATGTAAGACTGTGTGTGTTTCAGCCAGAGCAGGTTGCCRAAATTTATAAAATTTCTCCACTTTCAGTAAAAGTTCTTTAGTGGGGTCCATACCTATGCTCCACTGAACCTATGTTCCCCAGTATGTATATTCCTCTGTACCCATGTGCCCAAGTACATATGTTTCCTGGTACCTGAATTTAAGAACCTATGCTTCTCACTACCCATGTTTCCCAGAACCTACTCTCCACAGTGCCAATGATTCTCACTACCTATATGTTCCAATGTACCTATGGAATCTATGTTTCCAAGTACCTAAGTTCCCTGAACCTGTTTATCTGTAGCTACATATTCCCTGTACATATGATCCCTGGAACCTAGGTTCCCCTAAACCTATGTGCCCTGGAGCCTATATGTTTCCTGGTACCTATGTGCCTCGGTACCTAAATGTTCCATGGTACCTATTGTATCTATGTTTCCAAGTACCTAAGTTCCCCTGAACCTGTTGTCCAGTACCTACATATTCCCTGGTAGCTATGTTTCCCAGTACGTATGATCCCTGGAAACTAGATTCCCCTAAACTTATGTGCCCCTGAAACTACGTTTCCCAAAACCTATGTTCCTCAGAGCCTATGTTCCCCTATACCTATATTTTCCCCGGTATCTATTTTCCCCAGAACCTGTTCCTCAGTATATATGTTTTCATAAACCTCGGTACATATTCTCCCTGGAACGTATTTTTCCCACAACCTATGCTTCCTGGTACATTTATATTGCCCTGCACCTACGATATATGTTCTGTAGTACCTATGTTCCCTGTAATTGTGTTCTCCCTGGGTTAATAATGAAAGTCATGAAAGATATTTGGCTCCTCCTTCAAATTTAATTTAAAACAATTGAAAAATATACTGATTTACACTGCAGACATTGTACTGGAGAATATTGGAATGGGTGTCCTGGGGAGAATATAATGATCTAGGGAACATAGGTACCATGGAACGTATTGAGGAACATAAAGGTATTGAGGATTATAAAGGTATTGAGGAACACCTTGAGGAACATAAAGGTATTGAGGAACACATAGTTATTGAGGAACACATAGGTATTGAGGAACATATAGGTATTGAGGAACATATAGGTATTGGGGAACATACAGGTATTGAGGAACATATAGGTATTGGGGAACATAAAGTTATTGAGGAACATATAGGTATTGAGGAACATACAGGTATTGAGGAACATATAGGTATTGAGGAACATACAGGTATTGAGGAACATATAGGTATTGAGGAACATATAGGTATTGAGGAACATACAGGTATTGAGGAACATATAGGTATTGAGGAACATACAGGTATTGAGGAACATACAGGTATTGGGGAACATAAAGGTATTGAGGAACATAAAGGTATTTAGGTACATATAGGTATTTAGGAACACAGGTATTGAGGAACATAAAGGTATTGAGGAACATATAGGTATTGAGGAACATAAAGGTATTGAGGAACATATAGGTATTGAGGAACATAT